CCAGATTGTTGGGGGCAATATGCTGACTCTCTGTAAACCGCTTAGAGAGGCCTGAAAGGCCTATGAAGCGGTATATAAGTCTACTGCTATTGCTATTATTGAATATGCCTCCTTTTCCTTCTTAAGGGAGTCCTTTGGAGAGGAGAGCCTTCCTCGGACTCGCAGGCAGATTCACACAACCTGGCGGGAGCCCAAGAGGCTCATCCCAGCGCAGAGCCGAGGTTCCCCCGAGCAGGACTTGGAAGGAGGCAGCTGGAGAGGCTGCCCCACTTTTCTTCCCCTCCGGAGACAGGATCGGGTCCTCGGGGAGCCTGGTGCGAATCCTGCCTCCTCCTCGCCCGGCTTCTCTGCTCTCCTGCTGGGCCTCCGCAAGGATAACCCGACCCTCCCCCCCCCCATCCGAGCTCTTCCCCGGACACGGGGCGGGAAGGGACCCCCCGCCGCCTTCCTGGGATCCCCGGTTCGTCTTCTGCTGCTCTGGAGCTCCACTTCCCTCCCTGTATGGAGAGGGCGACTGGGGAGCATGGGACCCGGGGTTGCAGCCGGAGGAGGGCCGGCCGCGGGTCTCTCCCTCCTCCGCCTCCCTTTGCACGGGAAGAGCCCCACCCGCCACTTCACCCTCACCCGGGGCACATCTGGATCTCCCCCCGCCAGGCTCTCCCGCAGCTTCTCAGCCTCTTGCGGAGCCACAAGGGTTAAGGAGAGCGAGTGCGGCGCCCCAGAACGGCAAGCGTTTGTGACGTCACTCCCTTCGCTGCCTAATCTACAAAAACAGCTGTGACCTTCGCCCTCCAGTGGGCCAATAGGGAAGCGCCTGACATGATACTCTTTTGGCCGACCGCGCCCCCTTGCGGATTTGGCGCGAGGTGCCAGAATTATAGAAAGGGCGGGAAAGAGGAGAGCTTCTGAGGGGAAGGGAGGAGGGCAGGGATGATGGGCATGGGAGTAGGAGGAAAGGCTCGTATCAGTTGCTCCCTGCCCTGAAGACTCTGAATAAAAAGAAAAATTTCTAAAATGGAGGAAAAGCTGAAACCTATGGATATTCCAGAAATTTTACCTCATAAAGAGGCTCCTTAATTGAGAAATGAAGAGGGGAAATGGGATTTCATCTCTTGACTGGAGAAAAGGTGGAATTACAAAACTAAGAATGGAAGATTGTGAAAAAGGAATATAAATCTAGACTAGGATGAGGGAAAAGCCATTTTTTACATAGGGATTCAGTAGGAAATTCAAGAGATGTGACTAGGAAGCTTAAGCCCTTTGGAGAATTTAAGGCAGAGATATATCATGTGGCCATAAATAAAAAGGGAAAATGAAAATATTTGGAGTCTACAATGACACACAAAGGGATTAGCTACAGTGAGCAAAACAAAGAATTTAAAACGATGGAAAAGTGGTTAAAATCCATTTAAAAAGAATGGAGCTAACCTTTTATTTATCTTTATATATCTATTTCTCCACCACCACCACCACCACCCCAATTTCACAAAGAACGTTTAATAAGCAATATTTGAAAAAACAGCTTGGATCCAGTAAGAACCGAAATGCCACCCTCAGGCTGTCCAAACAGTTTAGTATGTTAGTAATTTTTAATGCAACAAAGAAAAGATAATTGCAGCACCAAGTAGATGCGCAGGACAGCGCTCAGCAGCCTGAACACGGCGGCAGGCAAGGTGGCATGGTCACACTGCAGCTGCTTGGGAAGGGGCCCTTGCAGACCGGTGGCAGGGGAGAGCTCCATAGGTTGTAAATATGGGCCGACTTGCTCTGAATCAAACAGGAGCAGCCCAGCAGGGCAGCCAAGAGCAGTGATGTCCAGACAACGAAGAGCCCCCATGAGTTGCTCATCCCAGATGCTGTTGCGTTGAAAGCGAAAAACAGGTCCATATGTTTTGGAAGGGAGATAAAAATAAATCCTGCAGTATTTTGCTGCTGCTGTGCAAACCTCAGCATGGGCAAGTAGCCTTGAAATGCAGTGGGGCAGCTGACAGTGCGGCCAGCGGTGGAGCTAGGGTTGGCTGTGGGGCGGCTGCCGGCATCCATTGATATTGGACCCACCCTTGTTCAGGGTAGAATGCCCAGCCAGGGGGAATCTGGGTCTGCTGGCGGTAGCCTAGGGGGAGGCTGGCGAGGTGGACTGACTAGCTTTGGCAGACTGAAGACCCCTTGTGGCAGCCCAGGGCTAGACTTGCCCAGGGGGTCCAGTGGTAGGCTGACAGCTGTGACAGCTTGAGCTGAACCCGGTAGATTGGACCCACCGAGGGAGGCTTTTGTATGATTCGCTCTACGCTGAGAAACAAAGGGGAAGCTCCGTTCTGGGTAGTCATGTTCCCCTGGATGGGGAAGGTGAATGTCAATTAGGGCAGAACCATGATGGCCTGGCTAGTTTGGTTGTGCTGGCCCAGGCTGATGATGCCTAGCTGGCCGAATCTTTCTGGCAGTCCCTCCAAGGTTTGGCTTCTCAACAGTGGCTGGGTTCCCCATTCCCAGGATTTGCTGAGGTCTATGGGCCTTGCAGCTCTCCACTCGAAGATGGTAGTGCGCTCTGCCTGCGCTGAGGCAATCTGGTGCTTCTGAAGCATTGGCTACCCGGCTAATTCCTCCTCAGTCTGGTAAAGCTCCTGGGAGGATGGCCACTTCTCTGGTTCCTGGTGCATTGGGACCACAAAGCCATTGCCAGAGACATCCCCACATCAGTGGAACTGTTGAGTTAATGGCCAGGGGACATGCTCTTTGGGCCGGGCACCCAGCTGGCGTTCAACCTCTGCTGCCTCTGCGGCTGCTAGTTCAGCCATCAAGGGGTCCCAGAGCTGTCTCTGCAGAGCCCGCTGGTTCCCGCAGCTCCAATGATGATTTTTCAGTTGATTTTTCCTCTGTCTTCCTCTCGATCTTTCCTGAGTCTTCTCTCTGCCCAGTATACCGGGTAAGTGGCTGGAGCTCAGGACCCTGGACAGCGACCCCACGTGCATGAGGAATTTGTTGCTTTTTATTTGAAGAGTGGAGTTAATATAGTTAATATCAGGGTTCCAAGTAACAGACTGAACACAATCAAAACTCCGGGGCCTGAGGTTTCCGCAAAGTATAGATTTATTAGGCAAGTCATATTGGCACAGCTGGTGAAAACCCAACTCGGAAGGTCCCGANCTGTTACTTGTCCCAGCTTCTGTCAACCTAGCAGTTCGAAAGCACATAAAAATGCAAGTAGAAAAATAGGAACCATCTTTGGTGGGAAGGTAACAGCTTTCCATGCCCCTTCGGCATTTAGTCATGCCAGCTACATGACCGCAGAAACATCTTCGGATAGCGCTGGCTCTTCAGCTTTGAAACGGAGAGGAGCATCGGTCCCTAAAGTCAGGAACGACTAGCACATATGTGCCAGGGGAACCTTTACCTTTACCTTAAGAACTGATAAGGATCAGATGATTTTTACTATGTCTTGATATGTAAAACCATATAACTCAAAGAGGGTGTACACTCTATCTCTATGCCCCCTCTCCTTCAAAGATTAACTAGAAAAATGAGATTTAAGATCTAGCCTTTGAAAATATTTCCTACTAATAATCTAAGTGTAGAAATTACGAACCCCTGGATCCAACAAACAACTTCAAAGAAAACTAAACTGACTGATAGCAACTTGAATCTTCTATTCCCCTTTCCATGTTGCTCAAGAAAACACAAATAATCTAGCCCAAACAAAAGTGCTTTGTACATTAGTTTCACTTCCTGAAGGAAAGCAAATATATAAATCTAATGAATTATTTTTTTCCTTCTTACTTGAGTTGGAGGTTCAACCATTCTTTCATCTCCATCATAAAGAGCAGACAACTTCATTTGACTCTTCCCTGTAAGGGATACAGAATTTTAAAATACATAATTAACAAAATAGGATGTCAGAAGATAGAAGACATAAAGATGAGACAGCTGAGATCTCTTTGGGTAAGGGGAGGGAACCTTGGATTACCTCCTGAGATATCCTGACTTGGATCTTCCTGAGAGATCCTTCTGAAAAGCAGCTCTTGGGAGGGATTTGATGGATTCTTCCTTCCCTCAGGACCTCTGATCTCCACCGCAAAGGACTTGAAGTAGGAGGCAAGAGGAAAAAGAAGCAGAATTAATAGACATCACACAAAGTAAAGTGGATTATTGTTCTCTGAACACAACTTCAAAGTCCCCAGTTCAACAAGGAGGCAGTAAAGAAAGGAATTGCTGTCCCCAATTGATGATACTTAGTTTGTGCAATGAAACATCTGGAAGAAAACAAGCAAACTCAGATAACCCATTTCAACCCTGAGCTACAAATATTCTCCTTTATTGGTGACTGATCTACTACAACAGATAATGAAATAATGTCCTATAAGAATTAGTGTGATATAATTTTATGAATCTTTAGAGAAAGTCTTTATTCTTTATTCACTTTTGGACTCTTAAGATGAAGGTATCTCACCTGCAACTTGAGCTGCTCCTTAAGCTCCTCCACCTGGCTCAGGAGGAAGCCTTCTGCCAGAGCCACCGCCTGGGAGCTGGTCTCTGCTCCACACTCCCGCACCCAGCTCTCCATCTCTGGGGAAAGAAGGGCCATGAGCTGCTCCAGAACCACCAGGTCCAGCATCTGGGCTTTAGTGTGTCTTTCTGGTCTCAGCCATCGCTTACAAAAATTGTGGAGTCGGCTGCAAAGTCCTCGAGGACCCTCAGCCTCCTGGTAATGGAGGCTCCTGAGGTTCCAGGGCTGAACTTCTGAATGCATGATGGTTTGCTCCTCCAGGATCTTCTGCCTAGTTCTGGCCTCACAGCATCCAGGTTGTACAGCTGAAAGGCCTTTTCCAGTTCTCTCACTTGCTAAAGGTTGTGTCTCCATTTTTTCTCTGCCAGTAACACAACTCCAAGGAATCTTGTAGATCTCCAAATGCCTTTTCATTCATAGGACCGATGCCAGAGCCACTGGAATAAGCACAGAAGGCCATTAGGCGCTCTTTTCCCAAGAGATAAATTTTACATGTCAAGAATTTAAAATGGTTTCCAGTTTCTGTATTTGAGATGGGGGGGAGGGGGGAAATCCAAGAATGAGAAAGTGGATACTTTAACCGTTGAACAACAGTTATTCCCACAGAACTGGAATAAGTTTGCAATGGAATTGAGCAGATAAATCCTGCTTTTGTGCATGTATGTGTGCATTTGTGTGAGTGAAGTACACTATTTTTTCATATAAGGAACAATTTCCATTCTATATTCACCTCCAAAGAAGTATTCACATAAACTGCCAAACTCAAAACAGGTGAACAAACCATGGAAGCTCATTACAGGTAGTCCTTGAGTTACGACCACAATTGAGACCAAAATTTATGTTGCTAAGTGAAACATTTGCTAAGTGAATTTGCCCCATTTTATGACTTTTCTTGCCTGAGTTGTTAAGCGAATCATCGCATTTGTTAGGTTAGTAACACGGCTGTTAAGCGAATCTGGATTCCCCTTTGATTTTGCTTGTCAGAAGGTCACAAAAGCTGTTCACATGATCCCGGGGTACTGCAACTGTAAATATGAACCATTTGCCAAGCATCTGAATTTTGATCATGTGACCGGGGAGACGCTGCAAATGCAGTGGTGGGTTGCTAACTGGTTTACTACCGGTTTGCTCGTTCTTATGCCATCCACC